AACCAGTTTTTGCCTTGCAAATTTGCAACCCAACTCCATTCTGATGCAAAACAGCTTTTTCCAACCCAGGCAGCCAGCCATTAGTCATTCCGCCTGACGGTGTGTCCTCCCTGGATGTAAACCAAAACACAGCAAAATATACACGCACCTGGCCCTCAGGTGTAAGTTTCCTCTGGAGAGAATAAACAGAAATAGTCAGAATTTCTACTGTTTGTTTGAATCTTTATTTCAACATCTTTCCTCAGTAGTTTACATAACCTACTGTAAACCTTAATTTGAGGTTGTTGTTTTTTTTTTTAAATGATTCAGATGTTTTTGTTTTGTGTGGCTTCTCATAAAAACTCATCTCAAAACCAGAGTAATTGTGGGATATTTGATTCTAGGTTACCAAACTATAGGAGTATTAAAAATATTTGGACTGAAAATAATACTCATAAAAATAGTGTGGCATGCATCACGCTCTCAGGTTTTCCTAACCTTTTCCAATTCCCATGATTTGACACATGAGAGGGAAAGTCATGAGATCGACTGCAGGGCTAAATATTTTTGAGATCTTGTGCTGTCTTGTCTTTGTGGTGAATTTAATATTGCACTTAATGGAAATTATTATCTTTTGAGCAGCAGATCAAAAAAGCAGAATTAAGTTATGCAATTGTACAAAAATCTTAGCATGCAGCAAGTATCAGCAGTATTAGCATTTAATGCTCTGTTTGGAGACTTTGCCTTGCTCATATTCAAATATTTGGCGTAAGCAGATTTTGTCTAGCGATAAAACATCAGCCCTCTGTGTATAAACACTGTTGTAGGGAAATGTCAGATATAGTAGATAATATGTGACGCTTCTCTTTTGGACAGTCGGGGAACAAAACCATAAACATCCTGACTGATAAAGGTAAAGAAGAAGAAAAAATACATGTTTCAGTTTCTCAAATGGGATTATCTGCTTGAATTATCCTTCTGTTTGTACAGGGTTGGGCCAGAATATACAAAAAAACACGATGTAAACAAGACGCCATAATTAACCCCTGTTATTAAACAGCAAAAGGCAAAAGCTCGAAGCTGGTTACCAACATCAACATGTAAAGTTAACACAGGCTCAGTGTTGTTTGACTGTCTGAGAAAAAGCAAAGAGTAAAGATAAAAACTTAGCCTGTGTGTAAATGTGTTATATTGTACAGAAGTAAGTGTTCTGGTTTATCGCCATGTGTCAATAGAACAACAAAATCACTGCAAACTTGTTTACAGCTAATGGAAAAATATATACCACATGTATATAAAATATAAAACACTTTACATTTTAGTCACTGTGGGGTCACCACAGCAGGTCCCTCCTGACACAACCCGAGACATGTGATCTGGCATTTTCTTTTTCTTTTTTACGTACTAGGTGAATGTTTAAACCACACCTTCATCATTAGAGTAACCGTGAAGTAAAACAGTAATCAGAGACTCGGTAATGTCAAACAAGAATGCGAAACGGCGCAAAGCCATGGGACAGTAACACTTGTTGTTTGTTCAGTTAAAAAAAAAAAAGATCTTTTGACTGAAATATGTTTGAAATCTTCATTTTACCACATGTGGCTTTTTTTTTTTTTTAATACAGGAAAAACACAGAGGAGTGAGTCAAATTGAAGTTAGTAATTCCCTTAATTAGTCCACTGTCACAGCACTTTATAATCCATGTGCTCCCACATTGTTGTGTTTTTTTTGTTGTTTTTAATCTGGAGTGAAAACGAGGTGCCAAGAATGTGCTAAAGTTATTCATAGACATAATGAATTTCTAACAATTCAGACAGATGCAATTATGCAAAAGGGTTTAGGACCACTTATTGCACAGATACAGTATTTGGCAGAGGAGGCCCCGAGTTTGAGGATGCTCCCCAAAGAGTCCCAGCAGCCTGCAAGACTGCAGCACATTAAAACATCCTCGAGGGCATACAGAGCAGAAATCAGCAGACACAAGTCTCTGAGATGTGGAATATACATAATGCACAAGGAAAGAAATGCCACGGCATAACAAGAAAACAGGAGGAGGAGGAGGGACAAGGCTGCACATCCAGCAGCCTGAGCGATCGGAGGGTTGAGAGCAGGAGCTTGTCAGATGATTATTGACCTGCCTGAATGTGACTTGTAATTGTAAAAGTCGGCTCCTAGTGACTTTGGCTCTCCATTAATGCGATAGTTCCTGAAACCCGCTGGGAAATTACCTCTTCTCTCACTCCCTTCCAGAAGATAAGGGACACTTCGGCAGGGCGGGTGCTCACCAGAGCAACAGTGTGTGAAACAGAGTCCTCTATTTAAAGCGCAGCCTGTCAAACCGCTGGGCCTCTCTGCCGCTATGAATTGCAGTCAGCGTTTTGCACCCCCTTGGCTTTCTCATAAGTAGCTGCGAATGTGTCAGAGGTCCCCATGAAAATGTAGATGAATTGCTGCTGAGGAGATGGCTTCAGCCATGTTAAAGTCAAGCCCACCTCAAATCGTGAGAGAAGAGGACAGAGGCCACTCTGAGACGAGAGCGTGCTACCGAGATTGATTCTGTGTGCATGCTGAGGTTTTTGTTGTTTTTTTTCCCTGCGTGCTCAGTGCGTACACCCACCTCTGGCTCTGGATTCCTTATATGTCTTTGCACACAGCAGCAGACCTGTAGGAGGATAATTAGACGTCTTGGGAGAGCTAAGTCATGCTTTGTTGCTTTTCCACAAAAAATGCCGGCTTGCATGCTTAAAAAACGGGGTGGGGGAATGAAAAAAAGGAGTGACCCAGCCGTGATGGAGTGATAGCCTTGCTTGTCTGGCGGCTTGTACCATTATATAAATCAACACACCCTTGTTTGCTTTTCTTCAATCGATCCAACACGAGAAGCAAATTTGCCGGTCCCACAAGCATTTTTCAAAGCAATACTCCAAACAGAGTCCACCTGAGGTCTTGGCTCATTTCCTTCAGGACAATGAACAAAGATGTATCGAGTCCCACAGCACCTGAGACCTTTTACATCATACAAGCTTGGTCTTACTGCAGCTTAAAAATACTCAGGAGTAATGGGTACAGATTGCCCGAGCGGTGGCACGTTCATGTGTTCCATGCTGGTTTCTAATGGTGAACAAATCATAAAATGACCACAGCACAACAATAAATTGATCCCAGTGTGATGCTTGTTGTAGGTTGGTCGTCTACTAGGGCTGAGTGATTAGTCAGATTTTATTTTCAGCTTTCTTTTAATGTATAAAAACAAGATAACTGAGGTAAAACTAAAACTACTGTGCTGCATTTCATTTCACAGCGATGCTCTGGTTTTGCCTTGGGTTATAAATCCAGCACCACCCATTTTTCTCCATCACTAAAAGCCCAAACACCCACGCGCTCTTTAGATTTACCTGAGCAAAGATGCAAAATCTTTATAGAGAAAGTAAAAGTTACACGAAGGTATCTGTGAATCTATAATGAACAGCATAATGACGTCAGCATCTGAAACCACAACCAGTTGGCAACCGGCTAAGTCGAGTCTCCTGTTGTAAAGAGGCACGTTGCAGATGACTTGTGCTCATCGGCACAGACCGACTCAGATTGATTGCAAAGTGTTGGCGGTGTCTCTGCGTTCATTATTAAGATTGCAGTTATTTTGCAAACCGTTGAACGATAGACTTTGAGGTCAGAAACAATTGCCAGTCTGGGCCTAACTCCTAGCCAGGTGACCTCATGCCACATCTTTTTATGGTTTCCCGTTCAGGGATGTTTCCTCTAAGAATAGCAGAATGTTTTGGCGTTGAATACATAATGAATAATGATATCCCCGGAGTTGATGAGTAATCATGTTATGTTATACTATGTTATCACATAGTAATGCTGAGAACAGGAACCTTGAATTGCTGCCATCACAGCAGTAAAAGTGGATCAAGTGGTTGCTTCAATGAGGCCTACTTCCAACTTATTTATTTGAATCCCACCAACTCATTTAAGTTTACCTCCATCTAAGTCCAATTATATGAACTGCATCTACTGTACATGTTAAATTATTTATCTTTTTTTTCTGTGTTTACAAAAATTACTCAGTTTTCCAAGCTGAACAGGAACATTCATCCATTCTCTTCCACTTATCCAATTCAGGGTCCCGGGATGGCGCTAGAGTCTATCCCAGCTATCATAGGGAGGCGGGGGAGACCCCGGACAGGTCTCCAGCCTGTCGCCTGCTATTTATAACACCAGACAGATCGTTTAAATGAAGTCCAGCAGTGTTTTTATGCTACTCCCTAACATCATGATATGGTGTACAATTTTCTCTTCAGCAATGACAAAGACATTATCCCCTATAATTAATTCCTTGTTGACAATGTGTCTCTGCTTCAGTGTCACCCTATAATTTCTGTCACCACATTACACTCGTGGAGCTTATTCTGATCGAAGGAGTCAGCTAGAACCAAAAATAAAGCGCAGCAAGGTCAGAGAGGTAAGGTTAGGAAGAGAAGTTGTTTTCTCAGGTGGCCACGCAGCCTTTCCTTTTCCTCGCCAAAGAGACAGGGTGTCCTCTACCTCCCTCGATCTCTGCCTCTCTCCTTCGCGTTCAGACAAGCCCGTTCAAGACTCGGTGATTAATTATTTATCCAGGCAATGAAATGCCAAAGCCTGAAGAAACATACCACCAGGAGAGAAAAGGTCACTCTCATCCTGCACATGGGTACAACACACTCACACAACAGTGATGAATGGCAATAACATCTCTATCGGCACTTCAGGCAGACAGTTTTCATGCCGATGTTCTAATAGCATCCAAAAGCAAGGGCAGAGCAAAAACACGGGGTGAAATCTTCAGGAGAGCCCTGAAAAAGCTCTGGTTCCTAAACCCACACAGCAGTGTGTGTGTGTGCAGTATAGTAAACTGCAACCTTTCCTTGCGGTGAAAACAATATGTGCACGCTTTGACACCTGAGAGTTTGCGTGCTCAGTTTAGTTGAAGGGTGTTTGTGTGATTAAACTTTGATAACTTTGTTCATGTCTCTCTGCAGCTCCACGACACAGCTAGCCAAATGGGGTGCCAATGCTGCCGGATGATTAAAAGGTGAGAAGTGTTTCCTCTTGTTGTGTTTCTGTTCTTTTCTTTGTGCGCCACTTCTCCGTCTTACGCAGTCATCGTCCTTTTTGTATATTGTCACAACACTGATGCTCAGTAAAACCCCACAGTAATCAAGAACTCCCTCAAGAACTCCTGTTACGGAGAAAAGGAGGAGGGAGGAGGGAAGAGAAAGAGGAAGGGTTGCTCTACCAGGAAGGGCTGTGTGTAAAGAATTACAAGAAAACCATATAAAGATGTCACACCACTTCCATATTTACCTGTTGGGTCACTTTGAGTTTGCTAAGGGTTTATAACTAGTGTCATGCAGCTACAAAACTAAAAGACTTTCATGCAAGTAGGAATTTGTTTTTCTTCCCAAAAAGATGATTTGACTAAAGTAAAAAGAGTAGTTTTGATTTTGGAATAGGCCAAAATGTTATTTTAGACAGTTTGGTGTTGGCACAGGGTTTTCCAGTGGGTGCATTTTATCTTAAAGCTGATTGTTTCAGTTTATTAAAAGGATTGATTCTTGGAAATGTTCAAGGTTTTCATCAGGGGTTATAAAGTCAGGTTTCACAACTGCAGTATCACTTAAAAAAAAATCACTATTTACAAGTTAATCACGCTGTGACTTTTAGCTGTATTTATAGCTATATAAAATGCTCACTCAGATAATTATCTCCCACTTTTTTTCTCACTCTGTCTTGGTGTAACCACTAGCTGAACGGGGATTGCCTGATCTTTTCTTGCAGAACAGCTAAGAAAATAACCCCCACATATATGATATACCGTATTTTCCGCACTATAAGGCACACTTAAAATCCTTTAATTTTCTCAAAAATCGACAGTGCGCCTAATAATCCGGTGTGCCTTATGTATGAATTCTGGTTGTGTTTACTGACCTTTAACCAATTTTACTTGATACACGGCGCTCAAAAATCTGTCAAAAACTGTTTTAGTAAGCTTGCTAAGCTACGAAGCTACACTGCTTGATAAATTGTCAGAGCATTACGGCTACCGTAGTCAGGAGCCTCACTGAGTAATCTGGGTCCAAAACTCCGTCCGCTTCAGGTCCCAAAGTCAAACGAACACTGTTAAAGAGTTAAAACGGTCTAAATTATTTCATCTGTAATAAAATGATCAGTGTTGCTGCTTTACCAGGTGTAACAATTAAGTTTAACATCCAGGCATCTATGAAAACAGAATTTATTCAATTCAACGGAGTTAGAAGTTAGCAGGAAGTTGGCTCGCTAGCTTCCACCTAAACATGATATAGCATGTTCTGACTGAGAGATTTCTGAAAAAATTAAAATGTACAGCTCTGCTATCACTTCCAACATAAATGAAGACAGAAAACTAAGCAGTGACGTTTGTAGGGTTACTGAAGTTGGCCTAGCTGGTATATAATGATGTCCTACGTGATCGCTAGCGACACAGCTATGTTAGCATAACATAAACACAGTGAAGCTGGAGGATGAACGCTAACTTCTTTCCACTCGACAAAAGTTAACGCGAGGATTCCTGATGGTTAGGGACAAATGCAATCGCTTGGCAGGATGCTGTAAAAGGACCAAACTTCAGTCAGGAGAACAACTGAGATAATCCAT